CCCCAAAACCCCAAAACCCCAAAACCCCATATAAATCTAAAATTGCTGAAATATTTATAAAACCTCATAAAAGATTTTTCAGAGTAAAATAACCATCAAGTAATGAGAACTCTTTCAAAACAAAGATAAATCTAGAAAGCTAGCTTATACTGATTCTCAAGAAAATCATAAATCCCTACTAGTCATATAAAGAGGTTGAGGAGCTGGATCAGTAATCATTTGAGGCTGTGGACTGATTTGAACAGCAGTAGCAGCACCATTATTTGTTTCGGCTTGATTTCTTAAACCCATTTGAGCTTTCTTGATAGAGCAAAATACAGCTGTACCGATTATTCCACCAATAATTATGATGAAACATCAAATGCTGCCGAGGACAATCCCTATAACTGCTCCTACACTCACTGTTCTATACAAAAATACTCAAAATCTTACTTTACTGTTCTTTCTGCTTTATAGTCAATATCTATAGCATTGCTAGATGAGGTAGGGTGAACTACAATGTAAATCGCAAAGTCCCAATCTATAGACACTGTCTTTGTGCCTCCAGTGCTAATAGAACTCTCCTTGTCATCATCATAAGCTGAAGAGCCAGCGAACACTGCTATATAGACATATTTGAATGGGATATTTTGAAGTTTAAAGGTAAAGGAAATCAAAATGCATAGAGGATTTTATTCCTTCATATAACTGGATTGTTAACGGGTATTTGATCACTTATAATAAAGTATTTTCTAAGACATCCAATAATCTTTATGAATATCAGCGTTTGTTGCATAATCTATTGGTAAATTTATAAGATAAGTTGAAACTTGACTTACTGACATCTATCTTTATGCCATTTATATATGTAGAAGTGGATGTCAATTTGTACACTCACACAACATTCAAAGTGATATAACTCCCTGTTGTATTCCAAGTCTGTCCAGAATAACCAACTCTTTTTGTCAAAGTTCCACAATCTGAGGCCATAATCCAAAATATTGAATTTCAAACCTAAACTAAACCCCAGGGGTTTTGGGGTTTTGGGGTTTTGGGGTTTTGGGG